TTTGGCAATTTTCAAATTACCGAATTAAAATATTTACATAAATTTCAACACTCCCTCTAGATTCATTTTATACAAGTTATTTCCAAACTTCATTTACTAAATTACAACGAATTAAAGTGAGTAGTTAGAACATTAAGCTACTTTCTCATGTGTGCAACACGCATCGCGAAATGCATTTAATTAAAAGTTACAGGCATTAAAAAATTACATGTCCCGTAATATTCGTATTAATATTTTCATGCACTGACGAAAATTTAAAAAATACACATTTTTGCAAAACATACTGCTATTTTAATCTAAAATTTGTAAGTTACATTTGATAATTGCAATTCATATTTATGATGTGAAAATACAATTTTCTGAATACATGTTCTACTTGCAACAACGTAATTTAGACATGAAGTGTTTTGTATCTCTTAATTAGATACTTCACCTCGCGGATTTTACAATGGAAACACGGCTTTAAATCCGTAATCAGTATTTTACTAATTTGGTACATCAGATGGAAACGTGAAATTATAATTACGTTAACAGTAATATTTCTGTCGAATAAATTATTACGAAAAAATCAATAATTTTTGCTCCTTTTTAACATTATTAAACATCAAAAATTGAATCTTTCAAATTTGATCAAACCTTTTTTTTGACAGAAATAACGCTTACCTTGAATAACTATCTCTGTTCGTGAGCGCAGATTATTTTGACAATCTCCCACAAAGGAAGGAACGTTCGTCAAAAATAATTAACCACTGACACCAATTTGACACACGATCGGTATATATCGTCCAATCTTCGCAAACTGTCTTTCGATCGAACATTTGTTTCCCCAATTTCTCAACGAGTACATAACCATAAATCTAGCTTGTGTTACGATTCAACCGAAAGTCCATAGTATCCAATCACGTGACCATTGACGCACAAATTTTTAAATACGTCAACCTCTAAATTCCTCACTTTTTATGTAAACTGTATTCATATGAAATATTTATCTAATTTTATATTACATAATTAGTGTTCTATGAGCATACCCGCACAATTAAGAATCTCCATATACAAAATTTTCGTTTGCGTGTAAAATTGTCATTCATATTAAAAGGACGGCCGTTCTAACAAGCTACGTACGTATGTACACGATACACCGCATATTCTGTATACATATATTATTAACATCATCATCATCATCTTCATCATCATCATTATTATTATTATTATTAATAATAATATTATTATTATCTTACCTACCTACATCGATCTCATTATATTCAGCACTTATACACAGATCGCTTAAAATATTCAGCTTAAACATACTCCAACTTTCTTATATATATCGCAGATAATCCAGCCCTGAGACTTATTACGTACATATATTTTTCATTGCCTTTATTACGTATCTATTTATACATGATTATTATATGCATGCAGTTCTTACTCTCACGAAAGTTTATTACCACCCAGC